ATAAGCAAGTAAAATTCAACCAATAGCATACAAGGTACTTACTTAGATTCACATTGCAGTGCGGACCAGCTTGACTGAGCTGTCAGGTAGACAGCTTGACCAAGTGGCACCGACCCCTTAGATGTAATCCCTTTTATCCTCAAAAACCGCAGACCACAGACATGACTCCTAGGTTTAGCAACTGATTCATAACTTCCTTGGTGCTAATTTTACCATACTTTCCTGTTCTAGTCGTCCCTGTCACGTCTGTTCCCATCAACAAGTTTGCTTAGTCTTGCAAGTTTACTTATTTCCTATCATTGCCCTAAAGGCCATATTTTAGCTAACTTGGCTTTATTAAATGCAATCAAAACTAACATTAAAACATGTAGAAGGCTACTAATAATTTTCCTCTCACAATGTGTATTCATACACAGACACATGCACACAAATACATGCATCCATATGTTAGATAGAATTGATAAAATGGGAATATTTATGTCTTTGCATGGTTATTGCAATGCTGTTGTTTTTTATGGCTTCTTATATGACATATTTTGACAGGAAGCCAAGAAGAAGTATGACAAAGAGACTGAGAAATATTGTGGAATATTAGAAAAGCACTTAAATCTGTCTTCCAAGAAGAAGGAATCTCAGCTTCAAGAGGTGAGATTGGCTGTTTTGTTTTGCTCACATTATTAAGCCACAGGTTTGCTTACTGCTGTTGTATGAAAGGCTTAAAGTTGCATTTTTAAGTATGTGTATTGAGAAGCAAGTTCCTTTTGGAGCTCTTTAAATGCTTCTCTAAAATTCCATGCTAAAGTTTATATTACTTTTAATTAAATAAATAAATCAGCTGTTCACCCCATCAGACTTAGAGCTGTAAGGAAAAGTGTTGTAATCCTTTCTCTCCTTACTGCAGTTCTGAACATCTGTACCACTCTCCTCAGGCTATTGTTGCTTCAGTTAATCCAGAAAAATGGCCTTGCAATGGATGGATATTCATTCATTCATTCATTCATTCATTCATTCATTCATTCATTCATTCAATTTATACTGCCTCCCATCTCAAATGCATGACTTTGGGAAACTAACAATGAATAAAAATAAGAACCATCATAGCAAAACAATAAATAATATATACAGAAATTGAGATAAAACCAAACAACATAATCAGCATAACCATGTTGCAAACTCAATTACATATCTAGGACCCCAGGCTTGGTAACAGAAACAGGTCTTCAAGGCCTTATAGAAGGCCAGTAGGGTTGGGGCATATCTAATCTCTGGGGGAATGATGTTCCAGAGGGTGGGCATCATGACAGAAAAGGTTCTCTTCCTGGATCCTGCCAGATGACACTACCTGGCAGACGGGACCTGGAGATGCCTCTCCTGCCAGAGCTAACAGGATAGGTAGATACAACTGGGGGGAGAATGATACCAGAACATCATGCCAATGTTTTGTCATTTTATCCTCTCTCAGTCTATCTTTGGGGTCCAGTGCATGGTCCTAGCTTTGGCTTTTCAGAGATTATCACAGCTTGGAACCAGGACCATTTATTTCCTCTCTCTCTGGACCTTGGATTTTTCAGCATCCTTTCTTTGGTGCTGTATTAGGGGAGATGGGGCAGGTTGTTATAAGGGACAGGTTCTTTTGAGCCTTTCTGATCTGCCCTGACAGCTTTGCTACAAGGACGCCTACACATTCTATAAGCAAAATAAATGCATATTGGGCACCAGAGGGAAGCTGCTGGCAGAACGAGTGAGAGACTTTCTACTGAACGCATATAGCAGCTTGGTGTAGAAGAGATTTGGCAGAAAGAAAATAATGATGAGAAAGGAAATATTTAGCCACTTTTTCCCCAAGCGCCATAATCTGTTGACCCAGCTGCAATGATTTTAATTATTAAACAATCCTGTTATATCAGGTAAAATGCATTTAAGGTTCACCAGAATGAAAAAGTTTTTCAAAAAAAAAAATGAATACCAAGGCTGGTGCTGGGTGTGCTGGCTGGTGTTTCTACTATCCTTGCATTGAACCCTAGCAGTTCTTAAGAAGGCAGAAGATGGAGTGACATTTAATTTACTGTTTCTGATTAACTATAATTGTTTAGTTCCACTCACATACTGTTCTAAAAATGTAGGAACCAACCTAGACTAGCATTTTGTTACCACATTGGTAAAGCAGATGGCAGATGGGAAGCCCACAAACGAGTTGAGAGATTGAGGGAATTTGGGAAAGCAGTGGGAGGAATGTTAGCCAAAAGATAGGAGTTCATTAGTATCTAATCTCATAAACAGCAGCAAAGTCCAGGCTGCAAACAGCCCAAGAAGAGAATATTCATAAACATTCAAAAAAACTCCATCTTAAGAAATTCACTAATAAATGAGGGCTGGAGATTCTGTACTTTATCCTTAATTCTTGCACTGATGCTTCTTACTTCCCGGATCATGCTCTGTTGTTTGACAAGGAGATAGTATACCATAATTATGCTGGCTGAGGAATTCTGGAAGTTGAAGTCCACACATCTTAAAGTTGCCAAGGTTGAGAAATGCAGATCTAGACCATCAAGATGACAATTTTACCCTCCATGTCTTTTCTAACTCTCTGTAAAGCTGTGTAATAATTGAATACTGGTGCCATCTTGTGGTCCACACTTTATATTAAAGTTTGATATTTTTCTCTGGAAAGATTTGAACTCTCCCCTTTTTCTGGTTTCACCTTTCATTTCACACATAAATGGCTGCCTGTAGAGATGCAGAGTTCATTCTCCTTTGGCTTTTATTACCATTGTGCAAAATAAAAATCCTTTCACTGCCTAACTTTAGGTCTTTATTTTCTTCAAGCACTGGGATTTTGAGTGAGGGAACTAAATGATTGCAGCTTTGGAACAGGAGGCTACAAGTTTTCAAGTTTTAAACAACTGAAGGTTTAGGTCATCAGCTGGGCTTTAAGAAGGGAAACTTGGCCAGATTAGGGACAAATGCAAGTACTTGGGCTTGTTGGTTGCAGTAATTCTAGAATTGGGTGCTGTTTTTCATGAGTAACACAGAGCTATTTCATAGGTGTGTCAGATTTCTGAGAGCACATTATATCTGGGACAGTAACCACCAGACCAATGGTGGTTAAGAGATAGGGGGGTTCTCAAAACTTGAGTGATTCCATGAGCCACAGAGCTTTAAAGAGGATTAGGAGACTGAAAGTCTGTAACATGGCAAGTGTCATAAGCTTATCAAATGTGAACTTTTTCCAGAAAGGCTGGGATTAAACGATGCAATCTTAAAGATGTAATTAAATTGGAGCAATCACCAACTATTATGAGTTGTATGAGATGAAGTTTTCTAAAGCACAAAATTAGATTGGATTGCTGGTAGTGAACTGAAGTCCTATACAGGTACGAAAGGTTTGGTATAAGCATATTTCTAAAGAAATATATTATGTCTATGGGCTACCTTTTGTTAGTCCCAGTTGTTTTCCTACATTTTAAAAACTCTTTCCTGCTTCTAGATGTATTCTTCTATGTGAAGAACAGAAATAAAAATCAGCCTGTTCTTCTTGTTCCTCAGAAGTCTTTTACAATAAGAACTGATTGATTATCCAGATAATTAGGTTTAGGTCCACTGACATAGTATTGCAGCTCTCTTTGTCTGAACACTATCTTGATTTTTATTTCCCATATTTGTTGTTCTGACCCTTCCCACCTTTCTCAACAAAGAAGAGTCCACTTGAATGTGGTCACATTCAGTGTGCGTCATATCTTTGTGATAATACTGATATATATGTTATTTAAAAAAATAAGAATAGGAAAATACACCATTTATTCTTAGATCAGTAGTTTGCAAAATTTCCATACTCAGGAACCCCTTCTTATCATTCTACCTGACACAAAATAACTGCATTTTATTATGAAATACAGGTGAAACTCGAAAAATTAGAATATCGTGCAAATGTTCATTTATGT